GCCTAAGCCTAAAATCCTCAAAAATCAATCTGTACAAAACCTTATTCCACTAGAAGCAGAAGTTCAACAGATAGAAGATAAATTCCTAAAAGAATTTACTATTAAAAAATTAGAAACAGCAAGAGAGGTATTTTTGTGTTTAGAAAAAATTGCTTAAAGAAAGAAATAAGGATAAAAAATTTTTTGAATTCAAGTGTGTCCTCAAGGACAAGATTTAAAAAAAAAAAAAATTTTAATCTGTTTAAAAAACCAAAAAGTAAAAGTGAAAACGATCTTCAAATTGAAAATTTTTTTATTTTTTCAGAAAAAAGTTTGTCACATCAAAATCTATATAAAAAATCATTCAAAAACATATTTTCAGCGTCAAAAGAAACAACAAAACGGAAAAACCGAAAACGCAAAATTAAAATGCTCATCTGATCAAATAAACCTCATCAAACAAAACAAACATTTGACCCTTGTCTCCAACAAGCCAAAAACTCTTGTGAGTCTTTGTTATTACAATCATATTTTGGCGAGTATTTTTTAGTCGCACTAAAGAACCAACAACAATCTTTCCAATATGACGATCTCGCAATTTGAAGTCGGCCGAATTTTCTCCAGTCAGATCAATTTCGTAGCTTCCATGGATGAACTCCAGCGAGAAACACTCATCAATAATGCCTTGACAGAAAACCTTTGGAAATCTGGAAAGATAAAACAATAACTCTGATCAGTGAAATTAAGATTTAATTTTGGTTAAAAAACATACACATCAAATGGATTGGGAGGTATTAGCTGTTCTCCAATTCGTTTCAAGGTTCCATGGGGCTTTCCGAAACAGTAGGCTTCACCATTAGCCCCGCAATGATTATGAACTCGACGAGGAGATTTTCCACACGTAGCAGTCCCATCCGGAAGCCAAGCAGGGGGGGTTCCATAACAAGAACTGAAAAAATTAAAATAATAGATCTTACTTTCAGAATTTACCAACTAGAAACACTTTTTTACCTTATATCTTTCCATTTTTGGACACCAAACTCTATGGCCAAACCAAATTGAATTGCTAGCACATGATCTCTGGTTAAGACCAAGTAGGCTCGCATGAAAAGATGTCCAAAAGCGCCTCGGATGTCGCAAGTCTTGGCAAAGGGAAATAAATGCAATATTGGAGTGGGAAGCGGAATCCAGGCAGGGCCTTCAATCTTTAAATTTCCTTGCCGTATCCCCACGATAGATACCAAGTAATTATGGACGGCATCTTGAAGGGCATGTGCGGCGTTTGTTCTTATAGAATCAGCTATTTGGCGAGATCCATCCGAGAATCGTAAGGGGAAAATAGGCAAACCCTGGTAATCCTTGACCAAGCCGGAGTGGACGAACGAAGAATACTGGCAGATCGGAGGTGGAGAAGCCCCAAGAGCAAAAGCTGTAACTCCGAATTCCAGAGCGACATTACTCATAAAAGTATTAAACTCTTCCATCAGCTTGTCAAATGTAGTATCTTGCAGATCCCAAGTCCTCGTAGCCAGATTCTTAAAATCGTTGGTGCCCATTTGAACGTAAACTTGAGCAAATTCAAAATCCTCGCTTAGATGCAGATCCTCGTAAACCTTCTTCTTCCACTCCGCCGGTGTGTAGCTTGTTCTGTGAGCAAACGAAATCCCACTGACAGAATACTGAAAAATACAAAATTGTTAAATTCCTCTAAATACAAAGGTTTATAATAATCTTTACCTGGAAAACCTCAAAGGGAAGATCCGATGTCATATGGGAAAAGTCAAAAACAGGTTTCTGGGAAATCCGGTTGGGATCAATATGGGACACAAACGTATCCCGTCCCTTTCCGATCCTGATATAAGCTGTCATCGATGACAAAATTATTAAAACAGCCACCTTCTTTGGATCATTCACCCTTCTTGGACCCCTTAACTTAAACTCCGGAGTTCCGTGTTTCCAATCCTGAACTAAAACCCCAGGAATCGGCAATTGGATTGGACCGAGTTTCTTTACATGTTCAGGGGTAAGGCCGAGTCATTTTGCCACATTGCGTCGATACTTAATCGGGTCCTTTGGAAAGTACTGCTTAGTCCCCATCATTTTTCTTAAATCCTCTGAAAAATTTGAGAAAAGTTACTTAAACACCCTATGCAATTCTTACAAAAATGGATTCGTACCATCAGTAATACCAGGGTCCAATATAGACTCCGCTTCCGTAGTGACAGTGAAAATTGACGAAGTCGTCTCAGCCAAATTTGGTGGTAAAGATCCTGATCTCTCTCCTGGTGTCTGAAGCAATGGAACTGAGGACGGTTTGGATGAAGAGCCAGTTGACTTCATTTGGGATGATGTCAAAGGCTTTGATGCTTGGTTTTGCATCACTGACGTAGATCCCGTCGAAGAAGCACTTGGTCGAGCTGGAGTTTGCGAAGTAGAAACCTGATGAGTTGAAATTCCAGGTGGAATCGGAACGACTGGGAGCCCCTGTCGAGCAGCATAACCCTTGAGTAACTGGTCCCTCTTTCCAATACGTAAGGTCACCGTTTCATCACCATGTCCTACTCGGACTGAAAGCATCCCATTCTCTGTAATATCAAAAGGAAAAATTTTTTCAATTAGTATTCATTTCTTCATTTTTTGAAATTAAACTCGAAAAGTTTTTTATACGCACCGTCGTGAGAAATATGGCATCCTCGGTCCAACTCAAACCAAAAGGACTTGTGTCCTTGTANTGAATGATATCTCTTTATCATCGGAGAATTATTGCGGAGAATTATTGCGGAGAATTATTGCGGAGAATTATTGCGGAGAATTACTACGGAGAATAATTGCGGAAAAGTAACACAAGGAATCAAAGCTAAGGAATGAATCAAAGCTGAAGAAGGGATCAAAGCCAAAAAGGAATGAATCAAAACCAAAGATTGGATCAAAAGCAGGGAATTGAAAGTTTAAAAAGGAAAATTTTAGTTTAAGGAGCGCTCCTAAATATCTCTGAACTAAATTAAGAATGATAATCCAATTTGAGGAAATCTATTTCAACTGCACGAGTATGGACCTCGTTCACAACGACAGCACCGAAACAACGAAATGTGCACAACAAACAGGAAGTCGACTCTTTTTATTCTGCATTTTTCTCAAGTGTTTTCTTTCTATCTAAGTAGGGCCTGGCCAGCCCGAAAAGAGAACTCTTTTTAATTTTGCACCTATTTTTACTGATTTTGAGACAAGAAGTTGAACTTTTTTCACTCAGGGATGAACAGCTCTACCTAGATCACCGAAAAATCTGAACTGAACCTGAAAGCTCCGGAACTGCTGGTTTTTTATACTCTGCGGACCCCCTCAAGGCCTATACACGGAAACAGGAGTCAAGCCTAATCCGGTTTTTTGTCAAAAACAGTTAACCGGGGGGGGGAAACAAGTTTCTACTCCTATATCGTTCCGAGAAAACCGGTCAGGGGGGGGGGGGGGGGGGGGGGGGAAACAAGTTTCTACTCCTATATCGTTCCGAGAAAACCGGTCGTAAAAACTGAAAGGAATTGGCGTCGCGTCACGTTTTCGGTTCGCGAGAACTTACTTGCTGAGATTTATGAGCGCGCATGTGTTCACTTTTCTCGCTGAACTGACTCACTTCAAGTTAGCTTCACCTCTTAAATCGATGCACTTTCTCTCATTTTCAACGCACTTTTGTTTTTTCTGAACCATAAGTCCTTAAAAGATCAAAAACAAAAGGGGGGTTTTGTCAAAAATTTAGATGAGGGGTGTTTAGAAACACAAGAGTTGCTGGAATTGGCAAAAGACCGATAATCCTGAAGGAATCTTGTGGGACGAGGAATGACCTCAAGTTCCCACGATCTTCCTCCCAAAAACGCGTCCTCTAAATTTGCTACGCTAAAAAGACCTTGCAATCCAAGGATATTCCCCGAATAAATTCAAAGGATTACTTTCCAGAAAAAACAGTATATAAGCAAAGAGATTTTCCATACAAAATACAGTACAGTCCAGTTCAGACCTCGCGATAGTCTGACGAATTTGCATTTGGGTTTTCGTTGCGTTTGCGTTTTTGTTGCTTTTGCGTTTGCATTTTCGGTTGTCTTGTCATCTCCTTTACAAACTTAAGAAATCAGACGATATTTTTGCTTTCTCTGAAAATATACCAATTTAAACTAGGACGCTGGTCCCAGCCGCAGCCCGGCTGATTATCTGGTTTTATTTACAATCCCTTTTTTTCAATTCTTATTTGTTGTAAATTCCTCGATCCTTCTTTTCGTCCATCGGAAGGAAAATTCTATTTTCTTTCCTTGTCTGAAAGCAGTTTAAAAAATCTCTTTCTGACAACAAGCTGTTGGATATTTTTCATGCTAGACAAACATAGGAAATTTTTTTTCTATTTTTTCAAAGTGGTTTTCAGTCTAGAAATACCCAGTAAAGTCAATCATAAGTGGGAAAACCCTGCTATTATACGGTCATAGCATGAAAAATATACATATATTTTTCCATCAAATTAGAATTCTGATTGTGTTCGTAATAACGCATGCTGAAGATGTCTTTGTTTTTCCACATGTCAAGCAACTGAACAAAACTACAGCAGAATATATAGTCACAGTGATTCTCGTTTTAACGAATAATCCCTCTTCACCGAATGTGTTCGTCCAGTCCTAGCCTAGCTACAGCCACACTTCGGAGTTTCTTCACGACGAATTAAATGAATGTTTCATTGCATGGATGAATTTTTATTGGTCCCAAAGACGTCGTTGTCATTCGAACATAACGAAAAACAAGTCTTTAATACACAATAAAAAGGCTTTCCTAGTATTATACAGGAGATGAACTGTAATAATTTTGAGGGGAACGAGAGGCAACAAGAACAAAGTCTGCAGGAAGGGCACCTCATCTTTTGTGTGATGGAGAGCAGAACTCTGCCAGGGTGACTTATGCAAAAAAAATTTGTCGAACATGGCTGATTCTTTTCATGAGCCAATGAATGTGTTTTCCATGAAAATTTAATTGTTTTTCAGCTCAATTATATGCCATTTCAATTTCTATTCCAAGAACTTTTGTTAGAATCCTGGTATACATCAGTACTTTGAAAGTGTTCAACACAATTGATCATTAAATTCAAGGATTACTTTTGAAGTATTTTCAACAACTAAGTATTTGCAGAGAGATAAAATTTGATTATTTATGCACAGTCTCCAGAAGATATACAGCATAAGATAATTGAATAAAGGGTCAATAATGATTGTCTAGAACTGTCTCACGTACTCGGTTTCTTTCTCAGCTTCCTGAAGGTACACCCACGGTCCTGTTTGGAGGTGCAGCGTGGTTTGCCCGTTCAACGAAGGATATGACATCCCTCAAAGACCGGTACTTAGACCTGTTACATCTTCCAATTCCAGTAAAACTTGAAATACACAAAGAAAGACTCGACCGACTGCTGAACCACCTCATCGCATTCTGGAAAATAAAGACCATCATCTGGATTCTTCCGGAAACGATGCACGGCAAATTGATTCCATTCAACAAGCATATTGACACTTACATCCAGCAAAGTCTCGGGGTGATTTCAAAGTACCCCCGGGACACGGTGATCGTTTGGTCCAGTTGGAGGATGTTCTTCGATCAGATGAAGAACGCAGCAGGACTCGGAAGTATCATGAAAGATGACCTGCACGTGAAGGACGACTACGAGCTCCCCGGAATGCAGCCATTGCTGAATTTCCTGTGCAACCCAGTTAATGAAACAATTGACTCGGATTACTGCTGTCACGGATCCGATGTGTTCCTGAAAGAAAAAACGGAACATCTTTGACTCGAATTTTTTGCTACTACAAGTTTCTTAAAAAAATAGCTCTTATATACATTCAAACATAACAAATAACAATGGAAACAACAAAATAAAAGAAAAAATGTTGAAATTCTGATGTACTGAAGATACTGTCCTTCAAAATGAAACATCCTGGAAAACCCACCAGGGGGGATTTGAAAAAATAGAGATCTCCAAATGCAACAAAATCTGGCTCTGTGATCCCTTTCTTAATATAATGGTGCTGCAGTAGGTTCAAGGCTTTTTTTTGGGGTGGGCTAGTAGTATATATAGGCACTGTGTTTCGCTGTCATTTCAGGGGCAACAAATATAAATAAATGAATAAATAAACAGAAACAAGGTGCGCTTCCTAATTCTATAATACGTTTATTAAAAATTGAACCCGAAACTCTAATCAAATGCTTGTTTCCAAGCATATTGCATGAAATTATCATTATTAGCCCGCTTTTATCATCTAACGCTGATTTTGAGTCTTATTTTTTTCAAAGAACTATCCCAAAAATAACTATCCCAAATTCATCATTAATTAATACAAATGTTTATGACTGTCCATAAATTTACATACAGTGAAATTTCGTCACAATACAAGCTCGTTTGGGCCAGCTGTGAAATAACGTTTCTGAAACATACAAAAAATCGTTATGAAAGCACTGTTTCAACAGTGTATGGGCTATTGGGCAGAGACCTAAAATGAAAAATGAGAAAATTCTTGGGTTTTAGCCATACAGTGGCTTAATCCATGGATAGCTCCCTTTACTTTTCATTTCTCCCACAAATCAACAGCAGCTCCTGAGAAATTATCCATTATTGAGTTATCCTCAGCTCCCTAGCTGGATATACAGCTTCCACAGCTAAGAAGGACAGGGAACTAATTTCTCTAAAGCAGCCACATTAATTCTAGCTAAGAGCTGAGACAGATATTCAACAACAGTTGGCTGTATAGCTAACTGGACTATATATGTATATTGGTTTCCCTCAGGTTGAAATAAATCACTTTGAACCTGAACATATATAATGCTTGCTGTACAACAGTGCACCTTTGCAAACAACTCCCACAACAATCATACCCTCCTTAATCATGCTGTTTCTGGAGTTGTCTATAACTCAATTTCAACTAATTGGTATTTATTTAGTGCTATATGTATTCTGACTATGGAAGTTGGATTTTCCTTGGAACTTGTCTACAACTTATTGATATTATAGCTAAATATTTACAACTATAATGCAGGTATTTACTACATTCAATTGCACCCAAATGACAAATCATTTGCTCAAAAGTGATGCTCAACAGCATTGGTATAAAAATTTACAAGTGCACAAAACGTGAATGTATACATGTTGCCTGCTGTTACTCAATTATAGAAAACTTATTGTGGAGTGGCTTTTTATGAAAACAATTGCTGATTCAAAAAATTTTGCCCCTGAAGGCCTTTTCAATCCGCATGATAGACTTCATAACAATTAAACTAAAATAATGCCATGAAATTATTCAGAATTTTGAATATTATGAAAAGAAGTGCTGACAGAAGGAAACTGATCGTGTCATTGAGTATCACAAAAATATTACTGTCAATCGCATATTTCACATCTTCCTGGAATATCTTTAATAACCGAGTCGACGAAATCGAAAAATGCCTCAGTGTGTTCCAAAGCAACGGCAGCTTGAAAAGTGATCTAAAGTGGGAATTGCCACATTGCAAACTCAAGATTTTCCCTCAAATGGACTCGGAATCGTGTCTCAAGCGCAGATTCGCAAAGAATTTCAACAACAGGTTCTTCTTTTTCGGAGACTCGACCATTCGGATAAAGGCTTTGACCTTGGCAAAGTTCTTCAATCTCACACGGGATTGCAAGGATAATTGCGAAGATCTTAGACTGGTGTTGAATATACACTGGGAAGATGCAGACTCAAACACAACCATCGACTACCTTCTGAATCCCTTCTTCAACCCCTACACAGAGGTAGTTTATGTATATATATATATCTTCACGCCAGATAATCTTCTACAAATTTTTGAGCATGTATATACATATTAATTAAAGGGGTCACATACACAAGTTTACGCGTTCATAATCAGCCATTTAATAAAAAAAATACAAGCACATATCATTTGATGGACATCGAAAATAAGAAAATTACGGGAAAATGTTCTAAGATATCTCTTTGTTCTCCGAAAGTCCAGGTCCATCTTAACAGAACTACACATTTAGAAAAATCTTGACACAACAAATTTGTTTTTAGGGTACTGCTGTGTATGCCGAAAATAGCCCTATCACTGTACTGTAATTGAAATTTGATGACGGCGAATTTGTCATTAGAACGAAGTTCTCTTTTTTTCTACTGAACCCAGCAATACAACGATGAGCGAGATACTTCAGGGTATACATTTTCGTCGTCAAGACTATCTTTACATGCAACTCATCGATAATGTGCACATTCTTCAAGTACAATAATGTAAGAAGTGCTTCTAGAATTAAACGTTACAAATAAATTTTCAACGAAATTTCCAAGCATTACACTAATTCATACATCAGGGATTCTATACCGATTTAGAAATTTAATCGAGTTCAACAACGAGTTATAAACAGAGAGATGAGATTTATTCATTTATACTTCATTCAAAAAGATATCCGAGATAATTATATACGAGGGGTTCAATCAACTGTTTATATAACACCGTGTCACGTACTGTTTCTATAATTTCAGCTTCCCGAAGGTGCACCAACTGTCCTGTTTGGAGGTGCAGCGTGGTTTTCCCGTCCACCAGAGCATTTGACATTCATTCAAGGCCATTACTTTGACCTGTTACATCTTCCAATACCAGTAAAACTTGAAATACACAAAGCGAGACTTGACCGACTACTGAACCACCTCATCACATTCTGGAAAATAGAGACCATCATCTGGATTCTTCCGGAAACGATGCTCGGCAATTTGACACAGTATAACGAGCATATTGACACTTACATTCAGCAAAGTCTTGAGGTGATTTCAAAGTACCGGGACACGGTGATTGTTTGGTCCAGTTGGAGGATGTTCTTTGATCAGTTGAAGAACGCAGAAGGACTCGGAAGTATAATGAGTGATGATGTTCACGTGAAGGACCAATACGAGTTCCCCGGGATGCAGCCATTGCTGAATTTCCTGTGCAACCCAGTTGATGAAAATCTTGATTCGGATTACTGCTGTCACAAACCTGATGTTTTCCTGAAAGAAAAGAAGAAAAATCTTTGACTTAAAGACAGTGACAGTACATTGAAGAAGTCCCACCTTTCAAGCAAAGTTAAGTTTGTTTTCCTTGTGAAAATGATAGAGTGAACTCATTCATTGCTTGCAATATATTTCCTCAATTATTATTCTCTATTGGCTCTGAACTGTTGGAGAAGCATTATTTCTTCTACCTGAATTGTGTAAAAATCTGGTGTGGACGTGTTCCATTCCAGGGGATTTCTTGTGTGTGAATTGACAGTGTTGGATTATTTAACTTTTGAATTGAGAAAAACCCCATTTGTATATATGTGTTCCATGGCCTAAACAGACCAACAGGAAGTGTAGATAGAAAATCCCATCTTACATCAGTGAATAACATTATTATATTACAGTCCGTTTTGGTGATGAAAAGGTACAGTGAGACCCCACATGCAGGCACTTTGACATAATGGCAACAATTTGACATTGGGACATTTATTTAAAAAAATCATAAGAAAGGCCCAACATAACACTGCATGATAAAATTGCCAATACATTTCAGGAAAATTGACTTTTATTACGCTTAATTTCAAGAAACAGTTATTAAGAACTATATGCAAGAACAATTCTTTGCTACTTCTTCATCACTTTCTCATCAACTCAGCTAATCTAAAAAAAATTACTTACAGCACATAGGGACTTCCTTTTCTCTTTGTGACTTGGATGCTATCAAATGGATGTTTTTACAGATACCAACATTTCAATGAACTGTACAGTGGTATACTATTCAATGCTCCAAATGTTCTTATTGGGTCAAAAAATATGTTCACTGAATGAAATTCAAGTGGCAAAAATTTGTTTTAATGGAATTTTGAAGAATATTTCTTCCATAAAACACCAATTAAAAATTATATTATGGAAGTCAATGGGAAAACAAGACTAAAGTTGGGAACACTCTTGATGCACCAATTATTATGAATGCATTGTTACAAAGTACTATTTTTTTTACACATGGAATTTGCGCATCCGCGTTACATTCCTACATTTCCAATTGAGGTGAGATTTTCTCACTATTAGCACCTTTTGTGGTGCTCCCTTCTTGAACACAGCTCATGCGTTACAATGTTTCTAGCCAGCCGTAAATCTCTGCTGACCTTTTACACCTGCAACAGTGTCTCTGAAGATACTTATTTATTCTGAACGCATAGCTCTCCACTCCTTATACGAAGCCTTGATGCATGTCCTGTCCAAGTACTTTCTACACACCCTGTTTCAAAAGGACCAATGACCTGCATGATTAAACTCTTGGCCAAGTAGGAACCAGCAGTTTTGGAGTATATAAACCCCAGTCCCAAACTGCTAAAATCAGTTGATCACCAAATCCCCTGCAGGAGTCAGAGTCTGCTCTATAGAGTCCCTGTCATACGTCTTGTTCAGTTGTATTTGAGTTGTCTGACTTGAATAAAAACTTTATCAGAAAAGCCTGTCTGTTATTCTTTGAAAAGTCTCGCGTTGCCAGCAGCAAAATGCTTCTCCACAAATCAAGGAGTAAAAGAACTCCAAGAGTAAGATACTCTTTACGTTCCCCTTAGTTTCTCTTTAGTTATTCTAAAATTAAAATTAAGCTAAAATAGGATAACAGCATCTGGGGGTCTCACTGTACAGGATTGAAGCAAATCTCATAGTGATCTTTTCTCCTTACAGAAAACCCGCATACTGCGAAACAGGGGGAAAATCAAGTCACTGCTGAAAAAGCAAGTTTAAGCTTCAGGGTTTTTCACATCCACACAAAATTTTTCAGGATTGAAAAAAAAATTTTCTGAAGGTATTGCTTACAATACAAAAGTTGAAAAGTCTCACCTGGTTTTTCAAGGAAAGTGATGCCCATTATTTTCTCATTTGTACAATAAAAAAATAAATGTTTTGCTCATTATTGATATGAGATTACAGATCCATCTTTAACTTAAGCTTTTCAACATTTTTCTCATGAAAAGACTGCATAATACTGTATATTATAAATAGTTTCAAAACAAAGGTGAAATTATTGCTTTGAATTTGCTAATTTTCACGCAAAAAGCAGACACATGCAAAAATTAGACCAACATTTTGGGAGGTGTCTCCTTGAATCCACGAAAGTTTGTAATCTGGGTGAAAGTTTGTTCCGGTCAATATATATAAAACTTTTTCTCCAGCCAAGACCCCACTATATCCTCCTTTATGAGGCTGTTTCTGTTCTCAAAATCAACCTCTTTCAGATCATTCTTGACAGCTAGTCGGGTACAGCCAGAATTAGGTCACAGAATTTTTTTCCAAGGTCCAAATTCGAACCCTCTAAAAAAATGATTGGCACAGTACTGTGTTTTATTCTGGCTGTTCGCCGTTAATTTTGAGGACAGGGACAACTTCATTTCCTCGTCCAAGAGCAGCTTGATCATATAACGTAATTATCAATGTATATGGCACTGTTTCGATCCAAGGATTCATTGCATGAAAAATAATTTAAAATTGGTGGAGACCGCGTTGAAATAAAAGCACAGTAGTGTTGCCAAATAATGGGGCTATGCGAGTAAAAAAAAATTTGCAATCGTTGAAACTCCATGGGATCTATTGGAAAAAATTTCATAACGTATGAACCAACCCTCATTAACAAAATGAAGCAAGACAATTTGCTAAATTCAAAAATATCAGTGCAAAAATGAAACAAAAAGAAATTGGCCAAAGCGGGTCAAATTGCAAGGCAAGGGTTTAATTTCAAGTCAACCTTCCTGCAAATGATCAACCATCAAATTGCGGGACAGTCAAATTACGGGAGGCCAAATTGCGAGGTGCCATAATAACCTGCAACATATGAACTTATTGCTGGTTAAAGTCAAATGGAAGGTATAATCACAAAAATGTGTGTTTCTGAACGGATGAAAAATCATGATGGATAAACAGACACGCATTAATTGACTTATTGGGTCCACTGAAAATGGCTACTGAACAAAAGTGAATGAATGAATGAATGAACAGAAAACTTTATTT